CTCTTACCTGTGTGAGCTGGGCTAGTTTATCCTGCTGAGCCCCAGTATTCTCATTTACAAACAAAACCTAAAATTATATGATGCAATTGTTATGGTGACTAAATGATCTAATACATGTAAGGCATCCAGTATAAAGCTTGGCACTCATTTTATTGTTGTTGTGCTGCTCCTATTGATAACATTCTGCTAATGTGGGATGTAAAGGGAAAATCCTTCTAAACTCCCTTGCTTCTTCATGGAGGTGCAATAGTTGCTTTTTTGATGATAAATCTTAGGTACCCTGGAAACAAGGGTTGAAAAGACTTTAAGTAAATAGAAAGCAAGCAAGCAGCCAAACCTGCGTTTTTCTTAAAAATGTAACCTTAAATTTTTAAACAGATCAAGATTTCAATGGAACTCTGAAGAGACATAGTTATCTATTAGTATATTACCAAATCAAGAGCTTCTGCATATTGAAAATTTCTAAACCATCTAATCTGATTTCTCCTTTTCTGTTTCTACTATTACATATTTGCAAGAAATGCAAATGTTGTTTAAATGATGGAAAGGCAAACAATACCAGTAATGAATGAACTTGAATCAGTACATTTTATGATCAGTGGTATAGCTTTGCTCAATGAGTAAAATAATTGTTTGCTTCATACTTCAGAACAAGTGAGTCTATTTAATATTTTTTATTTAAAGGGAATCATTCTGTGAGTTGGAGAAGAAAGACATTATTATTCTGTAGTTTTTCAATGTGAAGTTATCTTTGATGAGGATATATTTGAATGCAGTTGATTATTTTTCAGCTGCAAGGCAATATATACGATTGCCACTAAACATGCTTTCAATATCATTATTCTTAAGTGGAGATATCTATAAAAATTAATTGGTTTGCAATGACTTCTCTCTGTCCTGTCATCTGAGAACCAATTTGATTTGTTAAATACCAAGAAGATTTCTCCAATTTGTAATATATTTCAACATTAAATATATTCTAAGATGTCTTGTGATTAAGAATCATTAAGACCCCAACAAAACTATAATCAGACTGTTTTAAGTGGAGATTTGAGGATCAAATTTTCAGGTGTATCCAGCTTCAGAAGAAAAAAACAAAACAAAAACAAACCAATAAAACCAAGCAGTTCAATTTCAAAACAGTATTTGATTTCACAGAAAAGCAAAGAGCTTTAAATATTAGAGACCTACACATATCCCCCAATACTGTAGAGATTGGAGATTTATAATAGCAGGCAAAGAGATGCAATAAAGTGCTTTGGGCTTATCCCTTTTCACCCAGGTTTCATTATTTATTATGAAAATAACACATTCACAGAATTGGAAAAAAAGAATAAGATAAACTTCCTATCACCCCAGATTCTAAGCTGCCAACTACTTGTTATAATTTTTTAGAAAATCTCAACACATAGGCAAATGTATGTGTATCCTCTTACCTACATAATGAGGAAGTATACACAGTTCTATACTTCAGTTTTCACTTAAAATGTTATCTGAGAGATTTTACTATAGTTTTTTATGTGAAGAAACTTCATTGCTTTAAAAAGTGTCATAGTATTCCAGCCTAGGAATGAACAAACAGCCTTTGATACAGTACTGTAACAAGGGTACAATGGACAACCTTGCAGCAATCTTTTATCTTTAGACTGTCTAAATTTGTAATTAGTGAAGAAAAGGTATATATATTTAAATATTGATATTTTCAAACTTCCTTCAAAAAATTGTACCAATCTTATCAATAAGGTATGAGATATTCTCTATCCACTCCTTCAGCATTGTATACTAATGCCTGTTTCGATCTGGACAGCATCTCCAGGTAATCATTTGCATTTCCCCCTATATCTCCATGCTCAAACTCTGCTGAATATTCTAATAGGTTGCTGATCTTTTGATTAAATATTTTTCCAGAGAGGGAGGAGTGTTGAAGGGTTGGGTGGAAAAGGCAAAGGGATTAAGCAAAACAAACAAAACAAAAAAACCCCACATAAATATAAACAACAGTATGGCTAATATCAGAGGGAAAGGAAGTTAGAGGGAGGTAGAAGAGGGTCAGGGGAGGATAAATGGGAACAGAAGGAGACTTGACTTGGGTGAACACATAGTACAATATATAGATGATGTACTGTAAAATTGTGCACCTGAAACCTATGTAATTTTATTAACCAATATCACCCCAATCCTATATAATAAAAGCATAGTGTGCAAATTATCTCCTCTACTGGAGTTCTGGGAGTTTGACCAGTGGGCACACAGGGCCAGCCAGGAGAAAGGAGGGAGTACCCAGCCAGCAGTTGTTTGCGACCCTGCGAGTGCATTAATTTCATGCATGGGGTCTCTAGTAAATTTAATAGAAAAGAGAGATAGTTATATATTAATTAAATTAGCCCTTTGATTTATGTATGTTCACAGATATAACCAGGTGTTTTTTGTATGCTTGTTTTAGGTGTATTTGTTTGTTTATTTGTTTGTTTGTTTGCTTTTTGCAGATGGAGAGTCTGTACCTTGGCTTTGTGGTTTTCTTTGGATGTTCAAATTAATAATCTATAATAATAAAAGGGTAATACACTAATTAGACCAGACGTCATTCCTAACAAAGCAGGGGCCAGAAAGGAGCCAGCCTGGGTCTCAGGTATCTGCCAGTGGCAGAGGAGGGAAGACTGGGTCCCAGGTTCCGGATGAAAGAAGTGCCAGCAGTCGGGGGAAGGAAGGCCTACTCTTGCATAAATGTTTGTGCATTGGGCCGCTAGTGCTTTCTCATAAGACTTCTCCATGTTATCTTCATTAAAAAGGCTTTGCCCGCCACTGAAACCAATCAGCCAACCAACCAACCAATTGAATTTGTCTCCTAGTGATGATGGTGGTAATGATGACATTAAAGCCCTAACATCTATAATTTATTTTATTTATTTTAAATATATTTTTATTGATTTCAGAAATGAAGGGAGAGGGAGAGAGCAATAGAAACATCAACGATAAGACAGAATCATTGATCGGCTGCTTCTGACTCTCCCTACACTGGGTATTAAGGCCAGAACTCAGCATGCATACTGACCAGAAATTAAATTGTGACCTTTTTAACTTTTCCACTTGCTTACCTTGTGGGTGGAAAAATCATCTTTATTGCATTGTAAAATATCTTAGAAGTTTAAGTATTCTCTGGTCAGACACTCTCAATATCAAAGTATTTTTGTTTTTATTTTGAAAACTAGAGGCCCGGTGCATGGAATTCATGCATGGGTAGGGGCCTTCTGGCTCCAGCTGGGGCCTTCCTTCATTCTATGCTGCCAGCTGTCATAGCAAGCAATTGAACTCCAAATCTCCCAGTGGAACTCCTCAGGGGCCACTTTACATATTAGTCATATATATATTTCTATGTAGGCATTTTCATTAATTTAGAAAAAAGAAGCCTAAATATGTTTGTGACTCTCATTTTAGCTTTTATGATTTCCTTCTTTTCTTATTACCATTAAAACTTCTGTGTTTGAAATCTGTACAAATAAATGAGCTAAAACAAATAAAACTCAATTCACTTGAGATTTTGAAGACATCTGGTGAAGTTATTTTCTGAATAATTAGCCAAGAGGTGGGACAGTTCCCTAAAGTCAGCTACTGTAGAGTTGGCTACCCAGTCATTTCTGTAGTCATCAGCTCGCATGCAGTGAGCATATCGATTCACAAATTGACAAACAATTGCATAGTGTTGCCACCTGAGTTTTCTCAGTCCATTTGTGTTATAGAAATATATGCCTCACATGTGTTTTAGAAAGATGACTCTTCTCAGCCTGCCGACAGTCTATTTCTTTATGTCCCATCACCTCAATATGCTCTTTATGTTGTAAGAGACATTGAAAGTGGACCCCCCTCAAGTGCTGGTCTTTGTTTGCACTTGGTTAATCCCATATTTGGATACAAATATGATCAATTAAAATTTTGAAAACATATATCCATATTTAATAATGAAAATGAAGATATTTCAATGCTTCCATGTTTGTCATATATGGCACTCTTTAGCTTGGAAATATGGATCAGTGAAGTTTTAATATTTAAAATACATGTCTTCATCTTATAAAATCATAGATCTGGAAGTAATCTGAAAGTTCACATTGTTATTCTCCCTACTGGAAAACAAAAACACTTAAACCACTGCAGAAAGATATGTATCTTTCCAATTTAAAATAACTCTAGGAGATTCCACAATTCTCTTAAGTTTCCCACTGTGGAGTAAATAATTGCTATCAAGAAAGTTTCCTTTATAGCCAATCTAAATTTCACAGGTTATTAAAATCAACTTCATCTTCTCTATGCTTTTATTATTACTGTTAAGAATATGTACAGAGCAACACAAGCAGGAGTTTTAAGGATGCCAGGAGCAAAGATACGCTGATCAAGATGCATCTTGATGGATGGTGACTGCACTCACCATTGCTCCTCTTTTCAATCTATTCTACCTCTATTCTCAATCACTCTCTATTCTCAATCACCCTCAGTTTAGCTTTAGCTAAACTAAGTTATTAGGATTCATTCTTGAGATGAAAGTTAAGAATATAGGATACTTTGAATCTATAACATTTTAGATTGTTTGAAAAAATATAAGGAGAAATTATCCACGTGAATTAACATTGGAGAGTCATGTACAGAAGTACAATTTATCCAGAGTTGAATATATTCCACAATCACAGGCTATTTAGACCTGACACCAGTCTTGACACAGAAGTGAAATCGAACAGCTTCTTTCACTAGGGCATTTACCACTTCTTCAGTCTATTAATTTTCATTATTTATCTTAGCATGAACTGTGTTTTAGTTCCATGTAATTCAACAGGAATCAAGTCAAGACTTATCACATTTTTCTTTGCAATGCTTGAAAGATCACCAAATATTCAAACTTTTGGCCACAGAATAACTCAATTTTTGTTTTACTAATTCAAAGGACAGTATGATGACATGCTAAAGTAGTAAGTGGATCTGAAATAGTAGTCCTAATGTAATCGCAAACTTACCAGAAGTTTCATCTACTCTCTCATCTACTATGTGGTCCTTCTGATGAACCCACTCACTATTGCACTTGAAGTAGATCTGGGTGGCGGGGCTGGCTTTACAATACAGGTTCACAGGCTTGTTCTTCACAATATAAGCTTCTTCAGGCTCGATCAGGAAGTGTGGCAAAGGTTCCGGGGGGTCAGATGGAAAAGTTTCTGGCAGTTCATGAAAAAAGTCATCGTCTAGTAAAACAATAAGAAAGTAGAAAATGTTCAAAATATAGTAAACACCTGCATTTTACTTGCCACACACTTAAAAATAATGCATTGTAATCTAATTAAGCAATTTGAATGACTGCTATGCACAGGCAGTATGCTAGGTCTGTTGACTGGCTACTCAATTAAGGATTTAGATTTTTCTCAATTTTAGGCATGGCAGAACTCAACATCGGGGAGAACAAATGTCTTGTCCTCAGCACAAAGGTAGGAAATAGAAGTGCCATCCCGACCCAGGTTTGTCTTCTGCTAAAACTGTGATCTTCCAGCTAGAGTACTACACCTCCCACTACACAGTGTTACCTTTGAGGGTTGATAAGAGCAAAAGCAAATTTTGAAAAATCCTTTTGAAAAGTACTAGCTTCATAGGTAAATCTTTTCAAGGAGCTGAGAAGAAATATTAGAAACATGCATTAAAAATCAAATCTACCATTATTTTAAAAAATGCACCACATGACATATTCATTCATTCAACCACAAATATTTATTGAGTTCAGAATTATGCTAAGTACTAGAAATATAGATGATAAATTCAACCCAGGCCACAGGAGAGCCACAAAATAACCTAGAATCTAGCAATACTGCTTGATCTTAATTATAAACTACACCTCAAATATCGTATGTGATATATGAGTAGTCAAACCTATTTTCATTATATTACTAAACATTATTATGAAGAACAATAGCCTCATTTTTATATCACTGAAAATTTTCAAGCATATTGCTGGCACATGCTATTCCAACATTGATGAATAAACAAAACCTAAAACCCTTGAGATATTTGCACACTTTAAGGCACATTCTCTTTTAATCTGGGTTACGCATAATTGCAAAATAAAAAAATAATAATAAAAGTGCCTTTAAAAAATTCTATTACATTTCATAAAAGTGAAATTAAAAACAAATAGTCTTCCAGCCCAGCCAGTGTTGCTCAGTGGATTGAGTGTCATTCCATGCACCAAGAGGTCATTGGCTTGATTCCTGATTGAGCACATGCCTGGATTGTGGGCTCGTTTCCCAATAGGGGAGATGCAGGAGGTAGCAATTGATATTTCTCATCAATGTTTCTCTATCTCTCTCTCCCTCTCCCTTACTCTCTCTCTCTAAAATCAATAAAAAATGTATTTTTTAAAGAGAAGTCTCCCCATACACTATAAATAAGTTAAGCCTAATAATTCTCTTCTTCTGAGGGATAGAGGAGACTAAATTTATTATTAATTCTCTATGTTGATTAAGCACCCCAGGCTATATGTAAATTTAAAACTTTGAGGTCAAAATTAAAAGTTTTTACAAGTCCTATTCAGAATGCATACTCAGTAGCAAATAGAGGGCATGGTATTGGTAAAGACTGATTGCTCAGATGTTACCTTGAATCTCATTTCATCGGGCACTCAGTTGTTGACCTATTTTGGCTGACAGCCATTGACTATGTGGATGTTTGTCCATTAAGGACCCTGGCCTGGACTTTTCATGTAGGTCATGGGATAGCTGTCAATCAGTAATGTACCCAGTCTTTGCCTATTTGTTTGGCAGTAAAAATTGGCTTTACTTGCATCACAGACAAAACTAGCTTTCAAAGCTGCTCTATAATGATAAATTCCTGGCACTGGATGTCAATGACATTTCTTGTGGCTAGCTTCCTTTCTCACTTTAGTTTTTTAATTTGCTTTCTTTAGGCACAGCATCATTTCTGGTTTTTCTATTGTTCAACAGCAGGATCCAAACTGTTAGAGAACCACAGGATAACTTTGCCTCTGTTAATTTTAGCTGCTTTCGTCAATATGCAAGAACACTCAAAACTGCTTGAACAAACAATAGTTCAAATAGGCATAGGAATGGGGAATTGAGGTATTAGATCCATCAGCACGGAGCTGATGTCTTGAAGGCATTGTTCAATTTTTTTCTTTGAAGCACTTCCTGTTGTATGTAATGACAGACTGCAGATAATCAATAAAGCTTCATAAAATATCAGACTCCAATGCTGTAAAATGTTAGCTATTGTTTTTAATTATTGTTCATAAAGGCAGAGGGTCAATTGTATTTATTTATACTATTGGTATATATTCAGACACATAATAACTTGCACATGCCTTTCATAATAATATATTTATTTAAGTGTGCAAAATATAAAAAGCCTTCCAAGTCATTGATTTAGAAGGTGAGGCTTGTTCCTTTAGAAGGAATGATGATTACAAGACATCTGAAGGTTATATATCTCCTTATAGTATTCAATAATGTAACAAAAGTACTTATACATTTACATTCTACAGAAAGATAGAGAGGCACTAAACATTGATTACCCTGCCTTGCCAAAGCATGTATTTCTTTTTTCTTATTATTTACTGTAAACTACTGTGAGTCCTAAGGGAAGCTGAGGAAGTCACACAGATGTCTTCAAGTCAAAAGAGACACTGTTAAGTTCAGGGTGGGGGGGAGTAATTATTCAATAATGTACTTTTAATAAAATATGGACAAACTAACTTCGTATTTCCTTAATTTGGGGTTTTAAGACAAGAGGATTACTACAAGTAAAGAAAAATAATTTCTATGTCTTGGTACAAGGCTTTATAAGGTGTTGATTTTTCAATGTGCTTACTCACATTTAAGGTGCAAGTTATAATAGGAATTATTTCTATCATTTGAAATGTTTTCATCATATTGTAAATCCAGTGTTTCTTTTGCATATCATTCTAGCTCTGTAGGAATCTCATGCCTTAAATTTGATCTAGAAAGATACGTTAACTAACCACAGCATATTAGCTTATTAATATTTTTCATAATATGCATACAGTATATTTAAGTCTATGCTCTAGTTCTGAGTTTGGCGAGCTGCAGCTCGCAAGCCACATGCGTGCTCTTTGGCCCATTGAGTGTGGCTCTTCCACAAGTTACCACGGCCTGGGTGAGTCTATTTTGAAGAAGTGGCATTAGAAGAAGTTTAAGTTAAAAAAATTTGGCCCTCAAAAGAAATGTCAATTGTTATACTGTTGATATTTGGCTCTGTTGACTAATGAGTTTGCCAACCACTGCTCTAGATGAATATGACACATAATTTCTAGTACTTAATTCAGGTGTTGGGAATGACATTTTTGAGATTCTGTGTCAGTAAGGTATGTATAGTGGAAGAGATATAACAAAATGCAAATGGGCTGTTCAGGAATCCCTCACTTCTTCATTCACCACTGTTAGCCTGGATACCCTACCCAACCATGGAAATCGGCCCAGATAATTGCTCCCCAGCCTTCAGGTTAAGCCTGCTAAGAGAACACTTTTCTTGCTTTAGACAAACATGGTGTCAGCATTAAATTTAAAATAAAATGGTATTTCAGAAATTGTCTTTTTATGAAATGTACTCTGGAATTTTTTTCTAGAGTAAGTTTTAAAAATCGAACAAGCAACCCAATTCTCTTCAACTGAACATATAAAGGAAAACTTCTGAGTGTTTAAATAACCAGCATGGTTGTTACATCTATATGTATTTATCAAGGGAAAAAATGATCCTAGCTAAATGCCATTTGTATTTAGCAAGACAAAAAGGACCATGTACAAATTCCTCTTCAGGGACACTTAGTTCCTCTGCATTATGCATTTGCCTGGCACATATGTGGAAGAATCTACTTCTCAGTTTTTGCGGCCAGTTTCATGAAACTATTCCCAATTTTCAAAAGCCAGGACCATACAGAAACAAGGGCTTCACACTAGAATAAATGCTCTTTGAAGGCGGGTACTATGTTGTTTTCCTGTTTTCTTTCCATAAGTCTGGCATAGTACCAGGCACACTACCACAGGTCAATAAAATCTTGTAGAAGCATAAATATTATGACAACTTTGATCATTCCTAAAAGATTCACAAGGTATTTTAGAGCTGAGAATGCCTCAAATTTGCCAAGACCAGTTTGACTCCGTGAATAGAGCGTCGGCCTGCGGACTGAAGGGTCCCAGGTTCGATTCTGGTCAAGGGCATGTACCTTGGTTGCGGGCACATCCCCAGTAGTGGGTGTGCAGGAGGCAGCTGATCGATGTTTCTGACCCTCTATTTCTCTCCCTTCCTCTCTGTAAAATATCAATAAAAGATATATTAAAAAAAGAATGCCTCAAATTCGGTACAAATATAGTATTATAACTATAACATCTACAAACTAACTGGCTATGAAATTTGTGTGGCTCATTGCAGAGTGAAAATCCAGGAAACCTTGTTAAAAATGTATTAAGAATTCAGAGGTAATGATGACAGAGCATTAAATCTCACCCAGGTCCTGGGTGACAGGACGGGCCCCACAGCCTGGAAGCTAGCTCTGTCTGCAATGTCAGTTACTATGCCTTCTATTTCCCGAGATGTCTGAGAAATGACATTATATCTCTGTTAGTGAATATTCATTTTGAAATGTATTTGGTATTTCTCAGCTTCTTAATGGTGATTAGATCTTTTCTGGAAGAAGGATGGCTTTTCAAAGTATGAAATTGAGTCTCCAATCAATTCTCTAAGCATGGGTGTCTGCAATGGTGTGCAAGTGAAAGTGTGCGGTTTTATCTCTTCATCTTTTCCTTTTGGATGTACCCCAGTGCCCATCTTGAGCCTGATTTAAAACAAGGAATCCCTGCCCCATTGAGGGAAACTCTGTAAAGTAACTAGGGGACTGTAATACAAGGAATAATGAGCTTGGAGAGTCTTCTTTGAACTGTTTACTGAGATCAGTTCATTGCATGCACTTCATTTTATTATACTAGTAAGCCAACTTTCTGATATTAAGATCGTGCTGAAAACGTGGATGCTATGAAATAATTATTTAATTTTTAAGTAGGCAGAACACTGAGTACTTCCTATTACCACTTTATTTCTTTAAAAATATTTTTATTGATTTCAGAGAGAAAAAAACATCAGTGATGAGAGAGAATTATTGATTGGCTGCCTCCTGCACGCCCCTACTGGGGTCAAGCCCACAACCCCGGCATGAGCCCTTGACCGG